AATACAGGCAAGCCAGGTAGGTGGTCCTGAGGTCCTTGAGGTTGCTGACCTCAAGAAGCTTATATTTTATTCTGAGAAGACAATATATAAAGAGGAGTAGGAAGGAAGGAAGACTGGCTTGGCTGGAAATGTCCAGAAAGTGATGTAGAGGCCCACAACCAACAAAATAAGAACAAAGCTGATCTATCAAAGCCCAAGGGGATTCCAGGGGTAGACTCCAATTTTCTAGTGGGGAAGGAATGGAGATAATGGAGGAGAGTGGAGAGGCCCAAAGCTACAAATGGGTTGTATTTGATCATCTTTTGTTCACTAGCTTCTCTTGTCTCTTCTTTCTTTGGTTATGTGTAGTAGGAGGATTAGGAGCTTACATTCTGTGGAAGGAGTTATTTTTATGTGTGTGTGAACTTTGAGGGTATCCTATATGTCAGCTTGAATTATTTGGATTTTTTTTAGTTAATTGAAACACTTTATATACCTGTTTTATATTTTCTTATTTTCTTTTAGGGGTAGGGAAGTTAGAAAATAAGTAATTCGCTGATAAAATAGGTAGCAAAAGACAAAAGCTTCCTCAAGGGCATAAAGGCTTCCAGGTTGACTGAGAGTTTATTGCATATCATAGAATGAGGATATGAGCTGGATCCAGTGCCTGGGAGACCTTCAGGGAGCTACTGGTAGAGATATAGGCCCTATTCCTAAATAGAATTTAATTCATAAGTGCTTATTAATTGATGCAACTGTTTAAAAGTTAAATGTTTTGTTTTGACTGAGTAGATTTCCTGTATTTGATAGAACAGTTTTCTTACCCTACCATAGTACATTATTTGTGAATTACTATTTTGCATTTTCCTTTTTAAATAAGCTATAAGAAATACATTCTTGGGGCAGCTAGGTGGCACAGTGGATACAGCACTGGCCCTGGAGTCAGGAGGACCTGAGTTCAACTCTGGCCTCAGACATATAACACTCACTGTGTGACTCTGGGCAAGTCACTTAACCCCAATTGCCTCACCAAAAAATATACATATATATTTGTATATTCTTGTGTGAAGTGTGAAGAAATGAGGCAGAAGGGAAAGAAGGAAATAGCTACTGGAAGTGGGCATTAAGATTTGCTGACAGTGGCAAAAGAAGTGAAGGAGGTGGTTAGGATTCCAGATGTGGTAGAGTTGGGGGAAAAATATCTACATATGAAATCAGAGGATCTGTTTACCTATGTCACATTGGACAAGTCACCTAGTCATGGTGGGCCTCTGTTTCATCTGTAAGTTGAGAGCATTAGTCTAGAATGAGCTCAGTTGATTTCTGGTCTAAATTTATAAGCTTATTAACTGTCTCTAGGCCAGCTTTGTAGGGCTCTGAGAATTTCCAGGCTAGAGACTGACTCAGTAAAGTCCTGTTAACAACTCTGAATCCCTGAAACCAAAATAGTCAGGAAGATAAGGAAGCAACTTGCTTCTAGTCACCAGGGATCACAGAAGATTTTTAGAAGGTAGCAGAAGATAAGAGGCCTAGGACATCTGTCTAGGGCAAGGCTGAATCGATGGGCTTACCTGGAGAAACTGAAGCCCCCAGAAGCTGTCATTGGTCAGCACAAGGTTAGAGCTAAGGGCTAAACCTTTCTGGTCTTCTCTTCTGCATTTTTTTTATTCTAACTTATATTTATGCACCTATCTTATCTTCCTACTTAAACTCCTTGAGGGCAGGGACTGGAACATTTTTCTTTCTTCTATCTCCCTTACTACTTTTCATAATGACTAGCATTTACTGGAGCTTAATGAATACTTGTGGAATTGAACTGGAGGACAAGGATGCTGCACTTGATGAATTCACATAATGAGCAAAGCCCATTAGACTGGAGACTACGGCTTATGTTGCATCTGTCTTTGTCTCAGTGCTTAGTGTATGGCCTTGCAGATAGAGAAGGCATTTATTAAGTGCTTACTATGTGCCAGACATTGTGCTAAGCACTTAGGGATAAAATACAAGAAAACAAGATGGACCACACACTCTAAAAGGGGAAGACAAAACATAAAAGGTTGGGGGAGGGAGGGCTGCTCTGGAAAGTGAGCTGAGCCTGGGAGTGAAGTGACAGTAGTAGTAATTTAACATTCAACATAGACACTCACAGCAGGCCCCTCCTGCCTTTCCAGCCTTATTATACACTACTACCCTTCACATACTCTATTGCAAGAATGCCAGACCAACTTTCTTGCAATACTCAGTACAGTTATCCCTTCCATATCAAGGGGGTTAGCCCTCCCCCCCCACCCTCACAACCTGGAAAATTTTCGAAAAAAAATTTGGCCCTTCCTTCATACCAGAGAAGAAGTCTTAATTACTATTGCATTGAAAGAGAAAAATGTGTTGATATTATACAATATTATACGTATGTTTTATGCATTTCTCAGTTTCTAAACTTTTTCTGTGTCATCTGCTGGCCTTTGCCTTTTGCCTGCTGCTTCCACAAAGCTCCCCCAAATTTCCATTTAATTTCTTATGCAAACCCTTGAAACCACAATATATTGAAGCCATGATGGGAAATGTTTCGATGTGGAAGGGACAAGTGTACTCCACTGCCAGTCTCTGTGTCTTTGTTGGCTGTCCCTCATGCCTAGAATGCCCTTCCTTCTCACCTCCACCTCTTGAAATCCCTTCAGTACTTCAGGTGCTGCCTTCTGTACCAGAACTTTCTCTTAGCTAGTATCCCTCCCTCAAGTTACATTGTGCCTGTTGTAAGTATATGTGCATGTTGGCCCCATTAGAATATAAGCTTCTTGAGAACAGGGATTGATTTGCCTTTGCCTTTGTATCCACAGCTTCTAGCAGAATGCAAGGTGCCAAGCAGGCCTTTGATAAATACTTGGTTGACTGATTTCAGTTGTTCTCAAATGTTTTGGTCTCAGGATTCCTTTAGACACTTAAAAATTATTGAAAACCACATCCCCCACCCAAGAGCTTTTGTTTATTTGGCAGATATATATAGATAGATAGATAGATAGATAGATAGATAGATAGATAGATAGATAGATAGATATACATAAAATATTTATTGTATTAGAAATTGAAACATCTAGAATTATGAAAATAGTTTTGACCTTGAAGACCTCCTTAAAGGGTCTTGGGGACCCCCAGGATCCCTGGACCATACTTTGAGAACCATAAATAACTGTTTGTGGAAAGGAATTGAAGCCTTGTTTAATTTACAGATTCTTATTTAATTCAAATTGGCCTTCTGAACATTGCTATAATTGATAATATAGGTGTCTACAATATATTTATATACAATATACAATATACAATATATAAACAATATAAAATAACACCAATAACAAATGGACCAGGAAGGAAAACCTGCCTTTTCCTATTCACAGTCCCAATACCATTCAATTCAAAAAATTGAATTGGGGCCTTGGAGCATTCCTCACAATGAAAAGCCAGGCTCGATCACAGGCAGGGTCCCTAATAATGGAGCAAGACTCAGCAGCGTTAGACTTGTCAGCGAAGTAAGCTGGGACTTCTGGGGGAAAAAAAATCCAGCGGTGGCCTGTCCCTTCTCACCTTACTGAAGAGCTCAAGGCTTTACCCTACATCCCCCCCTTAAAAGCTTCTGACACCAATTAATATTAACGGGATTTTTACTGAGCTAGTCTCCAATCTGAGAGTGCCTGGAGCTGCACAAAGCAGGCCTAGAGATGGGAGTACCAGTAATCAAATAGTTTAATTAATCAATTCAGAGTGAGGAATGTTCTCTTTGTAAAGCACAAGTTACATACTTAAATCACAACTGGAAAAGGAGGAGGGAAGGTAGATTAAAATCATTTAATGGTTTCCCACAAGAAACCCTTTAAGCCCCAAATACAATTCTGGAGTCAAGTCTTTGGGGGTTGTGACCACCTCCCCTAAAGTACAGAACCAGAGTTCTGTGATGGCAACAGGTTCTGCAATCTTTGATTCGCTTCACTTAAGGTCCAGTGATTGTGAGCATTGTCAGAGTTTTGATTAATCACTTTAAGCTGCAAGGTGAGCTCTGACTCCCAAGCCAGAGAGACAGCTCTTGAGAAAACTAAATTATTAGTCTAGAGGCAGCTAGGTGGCCTAGCGGATAGTGCTCCAGCTTTAGAGTCAGGAGGACTTGAGCTCAAATCTGGCCTCAGACACTTGACACTTACTAGCTATGTGACCCTGAGCAAGTCCTGATTGCCTCACCAGAAAATAATAAATTTATTAGTATAATCATTACACACATAATATCAATGAATATGAAAATTGTAAATTCTTTTCTCATACTCAACACAGAATATAAGCAGAGATCTGCAGGTAAATGCTTAAAAACAGACTCTCAGAGGGGAAAAATATAAACACTTAAGTTTGTTTTGCATTTCTTTTCTAGACTATCAACAAAACAATAAATCAAGCAGGGATTTGTAGCATTCACAAATTGCCTAAGTGAAAATGATCACACTGAAAATTTAAAAATCAGCTTGCACTATGAGCTGGTTCTAGCAGAGTCGGCTGCCTAAGCCCATTAGTGAAGAACTTCAACAAATCTTCTACATCTTCAGTGCCTGATCCAGTACCTTGCCAATTTTTTTTAAACCAGATGCATGACTTCATCATGTGTGAAACTTCAGGTGAGGGTCTTATTCAAGCAATGCAGATCAGCACCTTTGATGCAATGTATAGATTTAGAGAATTGCCTGGGGTCACACAGCAGTTGGATGATTTGCCCAAAGTCACGGAGCAAGCATTTGAAAAGATGGGACTTGCTGCTGAATTGTACCGAATCCAATCCTTCTTCACCCAAGGCACTGAAGGAACTACTGCCCCCGGGTTAGGGGTGGAGGGGACATATGTCGCCAAAAGCAGTCCCAGATAACACTTTCATCTTTATCTACACTAGCTCTTTCGTGAACCACCCATTTGCTCCTTAAGGTCGGCTTCCCGTTTTAGCCAGCAGGCCACGAGATGGGTCACGTGAGGAAGGCGGTGCCAGGCTGAGTTGGGAGTGGACAGTGGGGGGTTGGCCTTTGGGGCGGCTCCGGAGCCTCAGCTTCCGCAGAAAGCGAGGATAAGAAGCCGGGGCTGTGCAGGGCTGTGCAGGGCGCCGCGGAGCTTGGCCATGGCGCGCCAGGTGCTGTCCAGCTGTGCGCTGCTGCTGTTGCTGCCCCTGCTGCTCGGGCCCCAGGCCCCGCTGGCCTCTGCCGCCCGCCACCCGGCTTTGTGGCCCCTGCCCATGTCCGTGCATCTGTCAGAGGATCTCCTGTACCTCACCCGCGAGAGCTTCGAGATCACTCACGGTCCCAGCTCTACCGCGGGTCCTCGCTGCTTTCTCTTGGAGGAGGCTTTCCGCCGGTGAGAACACCCCACCCCATTCTGGGCAGGGCGTAGCTAAGGGGGACCCCAGGCTGAGGAGGGCATGAGGGGGAGGTCCCTGCCCATGCTCCTTTTTCCGGGGTACTTTGTCTCCCGTCCTCTATGGGCTGACGTTTGCAGGATTCCCCCTTCTCTGCCCTCCTAAAAGAGGAAACTATTTGACGAAATGCTGCTTGTGCACGAAATCTCTGCTACTTACATCCTCGGGGGCAACCTGAGATCCTAATCTGGCACCAGGCATTTAACCTGAGTGACCTGGGTGTTTCTTTCTCTGTAAAATGAGGAGCCGGTCTAGTTGGGCTCCGAGGTTGTTATCCTGTGAGGACAAATAGCCTTTTTTAAACTTGGGTTTTCGAGGGAGTGTGTGGAGGTTGTCACTGCGAAGATATAGCTAAGCCTGAGAAGAGGGAGAGGGTAGAGGGAGAACGAGCCCTGAAAAGTGGGAAGCATCATCCATTGGGGATGGCTCTGAGAGAGGTGCTAGTTTGAGTGCACGGCCCCTGTGCACACCACCGGCTCTTGGTTCTGCCCAGAAATAATATCTGTGAAAAAAGTAGCAACAGCATCTTTGAAAGGTTTTCAAAAATAAGTGGAAGGCACAAGTGGGAGAAAGGCCTTCAAAAACTCTGTCAGTAGATAAGTATATTAAAAAGCTTCGTTCCCACCACATTTTGAGTATAGTGAGAAAGAGTGGAGACTCCAGGTGGACTCTGAAGACTCAGGTTCGAAGGGCCAGCTTTACTGCTTCCTAATCTGTGTGACAGCGGGCCAGTCAAACGTCCTCTTCTCAGTAGAAGGAGGTGACCTGCATGGCCTCTGAGGTTGCTTACAGCTCTAAATCTCTGATCCTATGAATACTAAAATTGAGTAGACATCCTTCAGGGTTTATTGTGTTCTTGCTTCTGTATTTTGGGACAGGGCAGTCTTTTTTTTTTAATTTTTCCTTTCATGAGACAATAAGAGGACTACTACAGTTCTTATTTAGTGTAAACCTGTCAGTTTTGAAAGGCAAGAGACACTGCTGAGGGGAGGGAAGCTTTAGTCTCCTAAAATATGAAGACCTGTAAGATTTGGTAAAAAGTGAAATTGACTCTTAGATTTCAGCTACCTTGGGAATTGGAGAATTACTTAAAAACATAGGGTTGCAATACGTATTACTATAGCTACACTGACATAAGGGGCTTTCCTTTTCTAAACATCTGTGAACACTGTTAGATGAGTAAATAAACTTGGAAAGATTAACTTGTCTATAACCATGTAGGTAGGAAGTATCAGAGTAGTTCACCCCAAGCCCTATCACAGTTGTGTTTCTAACTGTGATTTCATTGCACTTTCTACTACCTGCCTTTTGCTATTTTGTTATACTTAAGAGAGACATTAAATTGATGAAATACCAAAATAATGGTATAATGACAGAAAACAAAATTGATGTGGAGGAAACTCCCACTATTTGAAGAGCTGTCACGTGGAAATAGGATTATTTTATTTGGCTCCTGCAAGTAGCACCAACTAGTGAGTTGAAGGGAAAGCAGGTTTAGGCTCAGGGAAAACTTCCCTTTAATTGACTTGACTCAAAAAAAATACTGGGCTCAGGAAGATTGGGAGATGTCTATCTTTGGGGGCAGCTCGGTGGCACAGTAGATAGAGCACTGGCGCTGAAATCAGGAGGACCTGAGTTAAAATCTGGCCTGAGACCAAATACTTGACACTTACTAGCTGTGGGCCCCTGGACAAGTCACTTAACCCCGATTGCCAAAAATGATGATGATAAATAATAATAATAATAAGTATGATAAACAGATCCAAATCTACAGAACACTTTAAAAAAGAGAGATTTCTATCATTGGAGGCCTTCTGGGAAAGTTTAGATAATTGTCTGAACACTTATCAGTAATGTTAGAGAGGTTTGCCCTTCAGGGCTTAGATGGACTACAGATGCCCTCTGGGCACCTATCTCTGATTCTGTGATTTGTAATTTAGGTAACAGTCAAAGAGCTAAAACCGGAGTAAGCTACAATAGTAGTGTTAAAAAAAAAAAGAGGAGGAGCTAGTGTTTCAGTGCTGACCTAGAGAATTTACTTCATAAATTAAATGAAGTATTTCTAATTAATTTACAGTCTGTATATTCACAAGCTAACTTCTGATAAAAACAATCTGTGCCCATATTGCTGTTTTTTCAACATTAATAAGTTATAAATCATATTCAGATGGTCAAACAACTATTTGTCTAAAAGAAAAAAAATTCTACCTAGAATATGGTGCATTATTTTACAGCCTGTTGTTTGTTGTTGTCATGTCTGACTCTTCGTGACCTCATCTGGGGTTTTCTTGGCAAAGATACTAGAGTCGTTTGCCATTTCCTTCCAGCTCATTTTACAGATGAGGAAACAGAAGCAAACAGAGTTAAGTGACATGTTCAGGGTCACACAGCTAGTAAATGTCTGAAGTCACATTTGAATTCAGAAAGATGAGTCTTCCTGACTCCAAGCCTGGTGCTCTGTGCACTACAGCATCACCTAGCTGCCAGTTTTTATAGCCTAGGAGCTTATAGTTTCAGTCCTTTTATCTATTACTTCTTTCATGTTTAATATTTAGCAATGTTTTTGTGAAACTGTGTTCTCTAGTGATTTGGTTCCTAATAGTAGAAGGTGGCCCAGTGGCAAACTGGCAGATTTGAAAGGGTCACGTGTGACTCCTGTGGTACCAGTGACTCTGTGTTCATAAATTTAAAATATGCCTGCAAAGTGTTTAATGTGCTTGTTAAAATTTATTTCTCAACACAGCTATCATGAGTACATTTTTGGCTATTTCTTGAGTCCAAATGATCATCTCGGTGGAACACAGCTACAAAAACTTCATGTCACAATTACCTCTGCTGACTCAGAGTGTGATGCTTACCCTAACAGCACTTCTGATGAGTCTTGTAAGTATTTTATTTGATGCAAGCTTTATAACATCCCCAGGAATGGCCTTGTCTTTTAAAGTAGCTATTATGTACTTCCAAGCCCGAAAGTCTTCCTGTTGCCAGGGGAACGAAGATAAAATATTTACTTTCACTTCATGGATTTATAATCCAATTGACAAGAGGGCCCAAGGAAAGAAAAAGAGAAAGAACAGGGACATTCCATCATATAAGCATGGCCTAGTATTTGGCATCAAAGGACCTGGGTTGAATCCAGTCTCCCTTTGCAATTTTTTTATATATGTGATTTCCCTCATCTACTAGTACCCTCTCTCCCAAGCTACTATTTATTTAATCACTTTGTATTCATTCTCTTTATATACTTACATATGTATTTGATGTCTTTCCATTAGAATGTAATTTTCTTAGTATTTAACCATGAAAACAGTGACTGTGGAAAGCCTAGATAAAACCTTACTTATATAATGCTGCTAATGATATATATAAGATATAGATTTAATGTTGTGCAGTGATTTTATTTTTTTTTAATTTTTATTTTTTGGTGAGGCACTTGGGGTTAAGTGACTTGCCCAGGGTCGAACAGCTAGTCTCTAGTGCTTGAGGCTGGATTTGAACTCAGATCCTCCTAACTCCAAGGCTGGAGCTCTATCCCCTGCACCACCTAGCTGCCCCAGTGATTTTATATACACTGTGTAAAGGGAATTGCTGTTATATAGTAGAGAAAAGGGTGAAACAATAATTCAGTTAACCTAAGTTATGTGACATGAGGCTCCAAAGGGAAAAATTAGAATAATAAAGACTACCACAGAAAACAAGAATATTTTTATTTTTGTGACATCCAGAGAGTTGTTGGTTGTTACATATTTCAGAGATTGCTTCCTACTAGAATTTTGTCATGAAAACAAGCATTTATAAAGTCTGATTTCTTTTAAAAAAAAGCTATCATTTTTAAGCTAGAAAAAAAAGTAATTTTCTTGCATGGAGAGATTGCTTCGTTCTTCTTATTGGTACCCCCAGCACCTAGCACAATGCCTGGCAGTCATTTGGAGAAATCTGACAAACCATAAGTCTTTCTTTTTTTCTTTCTCTCTTTCTCTTTCTTTCCCTCTTTCTTCCTTCCTTCTTTCTTTCCTTCCTTCCTTCCCCTCTTTTTGGAGGCAATCAGGGTTACGTGACTTGCCCAGGGTCACAAGCTGGTGTCTGAGCCCAAATTTGCACTCGGGTCCTCCCGACTCCAGGGCCAGCACAAGCATTTCTCAAGCCTCTGTTACTTCTTAGGTAACACGCTGAACAACAGCCATACACATTCAAAGCACAATGATTTCTGCCAAGAAGGAGATGATGTTTTAAGAGAGAGACAACTTGGTATACGAGACACAGGATGATCAAGTCACCTGTGCCTCTTGGGCATTATTTTCTTCATTTGTTGAAGGGCTTGAATGAGATAATTTCAGTAATAAATCTGTGAAAAAAAATAATAAATCTGTGATCTTAATTTATCAAGGAAAGCAGACTAATCTGCTGGGGAGAGCACAGTATTGAGGATTCAAGAGACCTGGGTTTATAGACAGTCTTGGGTCTGCTACTTGAACAAGTAGTTTATTTTCTTTTGAGCCTTAGTTCATTCATCTGTTAAATGGGTCTTCACCTGGATGACCTTAAAGGTCACTTCCAGCCCCCAAATTTTATGATCTCTCATCTCTGACACACACTGGTTGTATGATCCTGGGCAAGTCACTTAACTGCTCGGTGGCCTAGGCAACTCTCTGAGGCTATATATTGCCAAAAAGGCACCTCATCTGGGAGTTCCTTCTGTCTATCAGGTCCTGCCCCTCTCCCTGTCCTGTCATCATTATTTAAAGAAGCAAAGTGGAGTAATGGATGGAGAGCCTGTCTAGTAGTCAGGAAGGCCTGTACTTAAACCCTGCCTCTGACACATACAGCCTGGGTGACTCTGGACAAGTCACTGCAACTCTCATTGTCTTACAGAATAGTAATTTATATTATTGGTGTAACAAAGTAAGTAAATAAATAAATGGTAATTTTATACTATACTAGTAGAGGGAGTTTCCCTGTGGGATGTTTCCTGTACTGTTGAATTCTCAAGTCTGAATGGGAAAAAAAAATCATCTTATAGTTCTGCTAGAGCCAAAGAAATTAGGGAAAAGATCTTTTTGTTTTTGTTTTCTCTGAGGGTATATCAGAATAAATGAACATAGATGGAGCCTAGAAGATGTAAGGGATTGAGAATGAGAAAGTAAGGAGATAAGGATAACACTGGTGAGGATTATAGAAAATTATGAGGAGAAATTAAAGGGGGAGTTATGAAATTTATTACAAGAGGGTAGAAGGAAAGATAGTTGACAGCTTAGAAAAATAACAATCTAATGAGGTGGCTGCTTGCTGACTCTTCATAAATCAAAGGAAGGCTTTCCCTGCCTCAGCAACAATTGATTTTTCAAAAGTTTTATGATGCCCTTTGCTTTTACTTGGCATTTATTTCCTGGCATACTCCTTCCTCCCATCTCCTGTAAGCCTTCCCTAATAACAGAGATTAAAAACAAATCAGAACCAACCAGTACATTAAGGTGTCTTTTAGCATGTGTAATATCCCATCCCAATAGTCCCCCTCAGCCCAACTTCTTCAGTGAAAGTAGGGAAATATATTTCCTTATCTCTTCTGAAATCTGGCTTGGTTGGTCAGTTTCCTTCTTTTGCGTGTGTGTGTGTGTGTGTGTGTGTGTGTGTGTGTGTGTGTGTGTATGTGTATTGTTTGTTTGTTTTAAAGGCAATTGGGATTAAGTGACTTGCCCAGAGTCACACAGCTAGTAAGTGTCAAGTGTTTGGTCTGAGGCCAGATTTGAACTCAGGTCCTTCTGATTTCAGGGCCAGTGTTGTATCTACTGGGTCACCTAGCTGCCCCAACACATTAAGTATTTCTTATGGCAAAGAAACATTGCATTATGTACACGTACTATACTTTGTTTAGCCATTCCCTAGTCAATGGGGATAAAATTTTGGTGTAAATAGGGCCTTTCCTTCTGTCTACCACTTTTGGGGCATATGCCCATGAATGGGATCTCTAGGTCCAAGGGTATGAATATTTTAGTTAATTTTTTTTGGCTTCATTCCAAATTGTTTTCCAGAATGATTGGACCATTTCATGGTCAGCCAACAGCATGCTGTAGAATCATAGATCTAGAACTGGAAGGTACATCAGAGGTCATCAAATCCAACCGCCTCATTTTATAGAAGACAAAACTGAGGCCCAGAGTACCTCGCCCATGATTACATGACAGTACATGACACAGTCAGGATTTAAACTCAGGTCCACCCAGATTGACCAGAGTTGATTTTTTTGTAAAGGATAGACACCTACAAAATTAACAACTAGCTCCTTAAATCCAAATGATCCCCAATTATTTCTTTTTCTGTTCTGTAGCCTGGGCTTAGGAGAAATATTCAGTAGTATTTGGCTGCAACATCAGTGTCCTCTTGTCCTGAATTTTGAAATCTGAATGTGAGATAATGATAGTCATTAAGATAACATTGAGTCTTCACCTACTTGAAATTCCAGTCATACTTGTTGGATTTTGTAACACATATCATGAAAAAAATTATGTATTATTCATGGCTTGACCTCCTGAAGCTGGCTGGACAGTGGTTTCTACATTTCATCCTTGAAGATTAAGCTGTTTTTGAAGTAGCCTATTAAAATTTTTTTAATTGAAAGGTTCTTTGGGTAAGTGTTTTGTCATCCATTTCTCTTACTAGAAGTTACTGCTATCTATGACTTATTCCCTTTACTTAGAATTCAGGGCCTTTTCTAATACAACTATAACCTTTACCTCTTCATGAAATATGATTAGGACAGAGTATATAGTTGGGGTTTTTTTGCTTTTTTGTTTTTTTTTAAGTGAGGCAACTGGGGTTAAGTGACTTGCCCAGAGTCACACAGCTAGGAAGTATTATGTGTCTGAGACCGCATTTGAACTCAGGTCCTTCTGACTCCAGGGCCAGTGCTGTATCCACTGCGCCACCTAGTTGCCCCCCAGAGTATATGGTTTTTAATCGTATGCTGAAAGGTCCCTTCTAGATCTAAGCCTATGAGCCTATGATCTTATAAAGTTTTGAGGTAATATGAATAATTACTTATTTATTTAATTTATGTTTATTCTTTTTATTTGTTGTACCTGGCACATAAGTATTGATTGATGAAATTACTTTTATTATGGTCATTGCTGTGTTATTTTGAAGACTAAATAATCATAGAATAGTAAAGTAAAATGAGACTTAAAAACCACTTAATCCAATAACCTCTTCCCCAACTTCATTTTGTGGAAACAATAATAATTGATATTTGTATAGTGTTGTAAAGTTTGAAAAATACTTCCATAGGCTTAGAGATCATTTAGTCCAACCCCATCATTTTTCGGATAAGGAATTGAGCTCCATAAAAGTTAAGCAACCTGCCCGAAGTTATAAAGAAAGAATTAATAGAGTCAACATTTGAACCCAGGTCCCCTGACTCAATAACCATCACTTTTTCCACTGAACCATTCTGTCTCTTGCTATCTTATCTGATCCTTTTAACATACCCCCCACCCAAGGTGTTATCATTATCTTCCTTTTACAAATGAGAAAACTGAGGCTTTGAGAGGTTGACTTGCAGATACATACAGATAGTAATTATTTGAGGTGAGATTTGAGCTCAAGTGTTCATGATTCCAAGCCAAATTTTCTGTCTGCTATACACATACAGCTTGAGACTTAATGAGGTTAAGTGGTATACAACCTTAATGCAGCTAAAATGACAAGTTGGACTTTGTGGCCCAAGGGCCAGCTCTAAATGTCTGATGCTCTAAGTAACTGGATTTGTGAGTCTAGAATAGCTGGTTAAGTTAAGTTTTGGACTCTGGATAGGAACTAATTTGTACTAAATTATACCAATGAAAACACTTTGATCTTCAGCTTAGTAGATTAACTCATGATTGCTGCCATCTGACAGATAAAAGGCGTTATAAATACTTGCTCTTGACCCATGATGTGACAGTAAACTGCCACATGACTGTCAGTTCTTGCTAATGAGGCTGTGTTTGGCCTTTTGACCTCTGGTAAGCCCGTCTTGGGATGTAATGGGGCCTTGGTCCCAATGTAGCACAACCTGCCCCCGTGCCCCAGGCGCTTGACTCTAATACCTCTTCTCTACTCGCCTTCTCTGCCTGTGCCCATCAAGTTTCTTCCCTGACTCAGTGCAGGTGCTGCTGCTGTACTAGCATCATCCTCTCATTCTGTGAAATATTACGTGGTTAGTCAGCTAGGATCCTTATGGGCCTTGGCTGCTTACATATAACAATGCTATATGAGCTAGAGGTTTTACTGTGGTAATCAAATAAAACTAACAATGAAGTGAACTTGACACTAATTAAAAGTGTACATTATTGTCATGCTATGTGGTAATTAGGTGTTGTTAGTAAGTAGATTATATAAACAGCAGTCCTATAACAATATTGCTTTTGCACAATGTAATTTTTCTTTGTTTTCCTTTTTTGTGTTTTTAGGTCTCTGATATCTCTAATGAGTGTCATTGTAGACAGTTTCTCTTGTTATCATGCTATTTAGTTACCATCTTCCTCACATGGACACATGTCCATTTGAAAAGTCAGAGGCCCCAAGCCCAGCTCCTGATCAGCTGACACTCCTTTGCCATTGATGGAATCCCATAGCATACCTCTTACATGCCCCAAGCCAGAGGTTTCTTTTGTCTTACCCATCACCTTGTCCTTACCTGCCTCTGTCTCAGGCAAGGAAAGTGAACCTGCCAAGTTCACTTACCTTGGCACTGGGCATGGGAAGTCTTGAAGCAGCAGAAATGTGAGGCTGACAGGCCCTGAGAGTCCTTTAGTCTCACCTGTTCATTTTACAGATGAGAAAACTGAATTCCTCAACAAGCATTTTGTGCAAAGTATGGTACTAAGTGCTGTGGATACAAAGATGGGTAAAAACACAGCCCCCGCCTTCAAGGGGCCCAGGTTCCATTGGCAACAGCTGTCTACATATAAGATACATACAATGCAGAGAGGCTTGGCTAGACCTAGCTTGCAGCCAGGGTAAGTGGGATGAACAGCTGAGGGAGGTGATGGCTCAGGACATGAGGGGTAGCATGAGGGTCCACAGAGGGGCCCTTCATCAGAAGGGCATTGAACAGTCTAATGCAGGGGTAGAGAACCTGCGGCCTCAAGGCCAGATGTAGCCCTGTCAGTCCTCAAGTGTGGCCCTTTGACTGAATCCAAACTGTGAAGTCTGGCCACATCTGGCCTCAAGGCCCCAGGTTTCCCACCCCTGGAATGTCTACAATTGAATATAGTACCTACTGTCATATTTTTGGTAAAAAATGAACCTTAATTTCCTGATAATGAATTAAGGCCCACCAAATAAGTGTGATATACAGGTTTCTTATTTTTTTTATTCTATTTGAAATATGACTTAAACTGTAGTAAGAACTCTATTACCCATTCTTACCTCAATAGGATTTTTGAATATTATGTAAATATAGACTGTGCCATAATAATATTCTGTCTTGTCTTGCTGAAGGATTAACAGAGTCTGTCTTTCTTGACTGCAGATAAATTGGTTGTTCATTGCCCTGTGGCAGTGCTGGAAGCTAGGACGGTTTGGGGTGCTTTACGAGGTGAGCAAACACTTTAAATTTCATCATTTCCTTAGCTGGCAGTATACAGGGCATGCTTTACAAATATGCAGTTGCCACAATGTCAAGAGAGATCAAATAATGTTAAGAGGCTGTGTAAGAAACACCTCAGGGAGGGGGATTGTGATATGGTAAAAAAAATCTGCTCGATTTGCTTTTCAAATCTCAGCTGTGCCATTTTCACTGATTGTGTGACTTTGGTCAAGTCTCCCAACTCCTTTGGACCTCAGTTTCCTCATCTGTAAAATTTGGGAGTTGGACTAGAAGAACACAAAGGTCCCCTTCCAACTCTGTAGCTACGATCCTGTGATCTGGGGGCTCTAGTGAACCACAAGCTTCAGGTGAACAGTATGGTCTAGCAGTCAAAAGATCTAGTACGGTCTAAATCTCTGTTGACAGAAGCACAAGGTATAGGAGGATTTTCATGGTCCTCTACTGGTTAAAACGTATCGAGAGCAGCATGTTTAATTCTGGCCACATTTGAGGTCATAGACAAACAGGAAGGAGCTTGTCTAGCTAGGGAGGGAACTCAAAAAATACTACATGAGGATTAGCTGGAAGAGTTGGTGGGACGCTTAGGCTTAAGAGGAGACTTTTGGGAGAAGACATCTCTTCCTTCAAATGTCTTGAATAACAATAGTAACTCCTATTTATATAAATAAGAGATACTATTTATTTAGTCGTTACTATTATGGTTTATTATTCAGTAATTTGTCAGTTGTGTTGGACTCTTCGTGACCCCATTTGGAGTTTTTTTGGCAAAGGTACTGCAGTGGTTTGCCATTTCCATTTCCAGCTCATTTTATAGATGAGGAAACTGAGGCAAACAGGGTGAAGTGACTTCCCCAGGGTCACACAGCTAGGAAGTGTCTGAAGCCAGATTTGAACTCAAGAAGAAGAACCTTCCTGACTGCAGGCCCAGCACTTTATCCACTGTGCCACTTAGCTGCCCTTATAAGTTATATAAGTTGTAAGTTATACTATTTTAAGTTAGCAGTTACTATTGAAAATAGTAACAGTATTACTATAATAGTTATTTTAGTAACAGTACTATTATTGTAAGCATTCAGCTTACAAAGCACATTTTTCACAATAGTCCTGTGAGATGGACCACCATTGAAGAAAAAATAGTAATGCTATACTCTAGGTTTTAGGCACGTCAGCCAGAGACATTATATGTGTATGTGTACATATGATTTTATCATTCCTGAAATTACTGCATTCTTTTTTGCCTGCTCCCCTCAAGATCTCTCCAGAAGTAATCAGAGACCTCCCCTAATCCTTTCAAGAAATGGAAAAAGAGGGTATGTCTACCCTTAGGTGGGACATACCAGGGGTGTGCCAGAGCCAGATAATTGTTAAATTTTCAGTGCAAGCATTTACACCTTCGAAATTGACAAAACTTACAAATTAAGCCTGTATTTATTTTGTTGACTGCTTAGACTTTAAGAAAGTGATGGAGAAGATGTTAATGTGTATTGAACTTAAAAGAGTACTTTTTTTTGGAGAGCTGGTTATTAAACACATACCAGCATACTACCAGCTATGTCTTTCATCCCTTCGGTGGATGGGAGATGGTTATGATTAAAACTAGCTATTGAGTATTTCCCCTTCTAAGTTTGGTTATCACCTTTAATCCATTTTCAGGAGCTTTAGCTTTCATTTTTTACTTCATATACTTTCCTAAAGGGAAAAGGACTTTAGGGAAATATTTATTTCTTAATATTCAGTTGAGCCAAAAAGTAGGTTTTTAATACACCCCCTCACCATGCAGGGGATAAGATTGTAGATTTGGAGACACTGGACCTATACTTGTTTGAACTCGGAGGGCAGAATTAGGAGGAGCAATGTCTAGAATTTGCAGAGAGACAGATTTTGCCTTAATAGAAGGAAAAAACTTCCTGGTAGAGCTCTCCAAAAGTCTAATGAGCTTCTGGGAAGCCTTCGGTCAGATGCTGGGTGAGAGCGTGCCATTCTTGGAGTTTGAAAGCTCCAGGTTCAAATCCTACCTGTGGCGCTTATTAGCTGACTGACCATTAGAAAGCAAATTAACCCCTCTATGCTTCAATGTTCTTCTCTGTAAAAAGGAATTGAACTTAAATGCCATGACTAGCTCCATGTTTGGGGTTTATAGGGTAGGGAGAATTTTTAAAATTACAACTTCTGGGATTTATATGTAAACAAAGCAGTATAGGTGTAGGCACCCTGGCATAAAGCCATTTTAAACCAAATCTAGAGACAATAGAGGTTAGAGTTTGTTTTTTCCCCTAATTTGATCTGTGAACTTTTAGAAATAAGTAAACACTTAAGTCTATTTAGTAGGTATATTTTTGTGTGTGTATAGAGAATTATATTACCTGCTTTTGGACTAATATTTGTACCATGTGACTTATATACTGTCTAAGCAGTCATGTGTTATAATATGCTTATTAAGCTGTGCATTTTGCATTTTCTAGGTTTGGAGACTTTCAGCCAGTTAATTTACAAAGATCCTTATGGGGTTGTGAGTATGACTATAATATGTAAATTGAACTAGTGCTGAGTTTGATGGAATGGATGGATGAATGAATGAATGAATGAATGAATGAATGAATGAATGAATGAATATTTATTAAGTGCGCCTGTGTGACACATGTGCTAAGTGTGGCGATACAGATGGAAAAGGAGTGATCATCTCTGCTTCCAAGGAGCCACACTCTAATTGGGGCAGACAACATATAGAGGAAGTTTCAGCTGCAGGACAGGTGTGCCAAAGATATAGCAGAAGGGCAGATGAAAAGGCCCAGGGGGTCATAAGGGTGTATCAGCAAGTCAGTTGGCAATGCAAGGGGAAGGAGTCTGGTAGGTAGGTGTAGGCCTAGAGGCCCTTCGGATGAAGTGGTGCTTCAGATGGTAAGTTCTCATAACCTACCATCTTAGCAAAAAGGATCAGTGACTCCCAGCTCATCTGAGCAGCCATGTCACTCTTCCAGTTTGGCTGCCTTTGGTTGGGTCTGGGGAGGGTAGGCTCTGCACAGCCATGAGGAAGGAGCTGCAGGGGGAAGGACACCCTTGCTGTGGGTGCTTCCTGCTCTGCTAGGGATAGAGGGAGAGGAAAGGAAAAGGGGGAAGGGCCTTCCATTGACAGACACCTCAAGGGAGAAACAGTAGAGTATGTGGCTCACTGGAGGGGTAGATTTTTCCTTTAATAGCTGTTAAGGAAATGACCTAAAGATGCAGAATGAGATTTGCATTCTCAGACATGGCCCATGTGTTGATTTGTTTTGCTGGATTATACATATTTGTTACATAAAGGGTTTCCACTAGAGAGGGTGGTGGTAAGTAGTGACAGATTAAACATATGCCAAAAGTGCATCGGTAAAACATTTTTTTAAATACACAGAAGAAACACCCTAAAATGCAGAAAGGGACACAAATGGAATGCTTTTATTACTACCTTGTTAAATTTTTTAATATTATGTCTACGTCTGTGTGTGTATGTGTGTGTATGTGTATGTATAGGGCAGCTAGGTGGCACAGTGAATAAAGTACCAGACCTGGAGTCAGAAAGACCTGAGTTCAAATCCAGCCTCAGACACTTGCTAGCTGTGTTATCCTGGGCAAATCACTTAACCCTGTTTGCTTAGTTTCCTAATCTGGAAATGGCAAAGCACTCCAGTATCTTTGCTCAGAAAATCCCAAATGGAGTCACAAAGAGTTGTGCATGACTGAAACAATTCAACAATTACAAAGTATATATGTATATGTACATATACATATATGTACATATTGTCAATAGGAAATCATACCTTCACAAAACTTGCATAAAAACTAGGTTTATTACAAGAGGAATGAACACGCATGTGGAAATCAAAGCCCCAAGGGTTCCCAGTCCTTCCAGAAGTTTACATTTTTATAATAGCAGAACAAAGGGAGGAAGGGGTACCAGGAAAGGGTGTGATATGGGAGGGGGAACAGTGCAGCAAAGGTGGGGAAAAAAGACAAGACCAGTCCCCACAGGGAGGAGCAAGGTGATGGCAAAAGCCTCATTCTGTCCCCTTGGGAACTGCCAGACTACGAAGATAGGAGGGTCCACTTACCTGCAAAGAACCCCAGCTGCACAACATTATCACAGACTGGTTGGTGCCTGTCTTGCCTCCCAGGAACACAGAGGGAGTCCATCTTGGGGTGCAACGACAAATTATGTCAGCTCAGGGAGAGCTTCATCCTAGACACATTCAGGACCTCCTGCATGCTCTATGTCCAATGTTTCTGGAAAATATAACAACTCTACAGTAGTAATGAAATTGCTATATATAAATATATTATTATGTATTATATTAATTATAATTATATTATTATATACTAATACTGTATTTCTTATTATAGTATAATGTATATATTTCTTTTTTTTTCTTTTTGGTGAGGCAGTCGAGGTTAAGTGACTTGCCCAAGGTCACACAGCTAGTAAGTTTCAAGTGTCTGAGGTCAGATTTGAACTCAGGCCTTCCTGACTCCAAGGCTGGAGCTCTATCCACTGTGCCATGTAGCTGCCCCTATATTTCTTTAAAAAAAAATTTATACATCACAGTTCACTGTTTCTTATATAGTTTTCTCTTATTCCTTGTTTATTGAAATGTTTGTGTTTGTTGATAACTTAAATTGTCAATTAAAAAAAGAACATTCCTGAAAAGAGCTATTAGATATATTGACATTTGGATGACTCATTTTCCCAGTATTTATCTAATGCATCGGTTTGCAGCAATTCTCAATCTCTTTGGCCTCAGAATTCCTTTATGATCTTACCAATTATTGAGGACCTCCCCAAAGAGCTTTTGTTATATGGATTGTATCTATTGATATTACCATATTAGAAATCAAAATGCCTTAGTATTATTATAAAATTAGTTTTGACCTCAAGGACTCCTTGAAAGGGTCTTGGGGAACCCCTGGGATTTTCAGACCAGACTTTGAGAACGTTGATCTAAAGTAATGGCAGTAAAGGTTTACTTTGTTCAGATGGTGATGTTGAGCCTTAAATTGCCTCTCATCCAGGTGGCATTGCTATTTTCCAAAACAGGAATACCAATTTTTAGCTCAAGTTGAAGGGAAAAGAATTTTTTTAATTCTATGCATTTTTTTTTAATTCATAGTATGTGATCAATGAGTCAGAGGTGATTGACACTCCAAGGTTTGGTTATAGAGGAGTTTTAATTGACACATCCAGACACTTTCTGCCAGTGAAGACTATTCTTACAACCCTGGTAAGTTACTGTCTTGTTCTACTTCTTAGACTATACCAAGGTGCTGTAGCTCACATTCATAATAGTTCAAATTTCTATAGCTCTCTAAAGTTTACAGTGTTTTTCCTTATAGAAACCTTGTAAGAGCTAGGTTGTATAAGGACCTCCATTTTACAGATGTGTAAGCAGGCTTAGAGAAAGAAAAGGACTTGCCTCTGGTCAAGGAGCTAGTGTCAGAGTCCAGATTCAAACCCAGGCCTCTGACCTCCAAATCCAGAACTCTATCCACTATATCACACTGTATCTTGCAGAAAGATTTCATACTGCAGACCACTTGCTTATCACATGTTCCTATAGCTTAACTAGCTAGAGCAGTATGTTTGTAGGTCACAGATTTACAGCTGGAAGGAATCTCAGAGGCATCTATTCCAACTCTGTCATTATAGAGAGAAGGAGCTGAGGCCTGGAAGGTTATGATTTGCCCAAAGTCAAATCACAAGGTCTCACAGGTAGTAGAGCTAGGATTTGAGCATGGGTCCTCTTACTCCCAGTTTATCCCTATTCCACAGTATGACACTGTTCTATGCAGGCTCTGTGGAGGTTTAACTTTTTTTCAGCAGAGTAAGTGACAGATAGGAGCATCAGTGCCCAGCCTTCTTTAGCTTGAGGACTCCTGTGCCCAATAGCCCCAGTGCTGCTTTAGGCTTTGTCCTGTTTTAAGACATTTTTACAATTCTCACTTGTGATTTCTTTATCCTCTGTTATGTGTCTTTAAGATGTGCCCATGAAGGCCCAGAAGAAATTGGAAAGTCATGTTGTTTTTCTCTGAGAATTTTTTTTGTTCTTTTTCACCAATTTTTTCACAAATTTTATGAGCAAGCCAAGTTAGACCTAATAGATTTTTATGCTCTAAAACAAAGTGCCTTAGAAAGTTTTTTGCATTTCTTTTCCTTTAAGGTTTTCTTTTAAAATGTCCCTAAGTTTGCATATCTCTTTTGAGTTACAATGCTGGGCTTTGCCTCATCCTCATGTAGTACTTTCAGAGATTGAGGGGAGAGCTTTTCTGTCCTTCTTCCACATGCTCTTCCTCCTCCCACTTCCCAGTCTTACTGAAGTTTACATAAGTGTTTTCTTGTGTTTAAAAGACTGAGATCCCTGTCTAGGGTAATGGAGAACTTTATACAGTAGTGGTGGTTGGGGTGGTGATAGTGGTAATATCTATGTAAACTATATTGGAGGATCAGTGTTTTGTCTCTTCCATATGTATCCCTTTGTATTGTTCAGGAATTTTTCAGTCATATCTGACCTTCCTAACCCTATTTGGGATTTTCTTGCAAAGATACTGGAGTAGCTTGACATTTTTTTTTTCTCCAGCTCCTTTTACAGATGTAGGAACTGAGGCAAACAGGGTGAAGTGACTTGCCCAGGATCACAAAGCTAATAAGTGTATTCTCTAAAAGAATGTGTATATACACATATGTGTGTGTGTGTGTCTATATCTATAGATACACGCGCACACACACACACACACACACACACACGGAAATCACAGAAACACAGGGAGAAATCCACAATGCATTTTAGATGCTGCCTGACATGTACAAAGAATAATTTTGAATCTATTCCTTTACAGGATGCCATGGCATTTAATAAATTAAATGTTCTGCATTGGCATATAGTGGATGACAATTCCTTCCCGTATCAGAGTATGGCTTTTCCAGACTTAAGCGAGAAAGTGAGTAATTTATCAATTATTCTGTCTACAGAGCTCTTTATTATAGTATGCTTATGAATTAGAATCCTAAATGATCCCTTTTATGTATGAATTCACAACTTACAGTAGCTGTCTACTTTGCATTTGTTTTTATTAGATTGTAGCTTTAGGTATTTATTGTTTGGAACTTATAAAATTAGCTTTTATTTTAAATAAATTCTGGGGGAAATGCAAATAAAATAAAACTTTTAATTAAATGAACAACCAGAGCTATTTATGAATAACAGAAATCAGCCATGTAAAAATAAATATGACAGTTTACCACTGGCAGGTAATCACAGTTGCTTTAAGAAATAGCAAGTTGTCATGCTTTAAAATGCATCATCTTAGTACTCGACCGGTCTATCTTAGGGAGAGGATTGCTGGAACCATAGCAGTCACTCTAAGAAATATTCCTTCTTCCTCAAAGAGGAGGCAATAGAAGTGCTCAAGAAGGTAGAGCCAAAATGGCAGAGTATCAGGAAGAAAAACTGTGAGCTCTCTGCTAAAATTTCCCAGAACAGATCTAGAAAACACACCAGACTAGTCCCTGATGGAGGAAATCCAAGCAAAAGTCTCATTTTTCTAGCCCTGATTCGCCTAGAGAGACAGACAGAGAGGTCTGCGGACAGTGAGGATGGGGTCTAGCCAGGAGTGTGCAGCATTGCACAATCCAGGACAGGGAGAGGCTGTTCAACGGGACTAGACAAGGTCCCATTCTCCATTGGGGGAGGGAGAGAAGGTAGATTTTTGCTTTTTCAACGAACACAAGTTAATTCTTTGGAGGTAGGGTTCTAAGTTGTGTTCTGATTGTGAATTAATTTGCAGAAGTATGATACGGTCATCTTTAAAGGTTTTAAAAGCCAGTTATTTGTGACCAAGGACATTTAAGTCTTTTTTCACTTTGCTTTCTGGATAGTAGGGGTGAGCTGGGAAGCATTCCAGAAAACAGAAGACAGTGGTTGGGGATGGTTGGGCAGATATTTTAGTAAAACTATGATTGTCTAAAATAGTGAAAAGACAATGACATGATTTAGAAGAAATTCTCATAGCAGACTTTCTTCTTCTGTCACCTTTTGCAATATGTATTTTAAAATAAAGAATACAAGTGTTGTTAGAGGACCATACACAGAGGTTCCCAAAGTGGGCAATACTGCCCCCTTGGGGGCGCTGGAAGGATCCAAGGGGGCAGTAGTTGCCTCTGGTACAATTGAGGGATGTTGAATAAAAATAAGGGAGTGGTGGAAGCATATGAAAAGAAGGGAAGAGAAGAAAAGTTTGAAAAACCATTTGTACATATTTCATCTGTTGTATAATAAGGTGATAGTGATTACATTATTTTCCAAATAAACACACAAAATGCAAGTTATAACCAATCAGTGGTCAAGTCCACCTACGAGACTTAACAAGCAAGTTTTGGCAGGCAAGGGTGTCAGGCATTGTTGGGAAGTCCAGCATGCATTGATAGGAATACGTGTGTATGTAATGATTTGTTTACAATGTTGTACTATACGGTTACATGATGCAATCATCAAAATCTCAATGCAGGAAAAATCCCACAAATTTACAATAAGTTACTAAATTTAAGTTGTGTCATTTAAAAAAAATTATATTTTTTTGAAATAATGCAAATTTCAAAACAACATTAAAGGGTTAAAGATTTCCAGGGAGGCACTGAGTAATTTTTTTTTAAAAAGGGGGCAGTAGGTCAAATATGTCTGGGAACCTCTTATCTAGCATGTTGAGTTATTTGAAAAAATAAAATTATTTGTCACTTTTTTGAAGTAAAAATTGGAATATATATCAAATTGTTTGCTTTCTCATTGTGGGGGTGGAGGGAAGGAAGGAGGGGAAAGAATTTGGAACTCAGCAGTTTAAAAAAATGAATGTTATACATTGTTTTTACATATAATTGGGGAAAATAAAATATTAAATAAAAAGAACAGTAAAATTGGATTACTGATAAAGGACATTTGAACCAACTTTATGGATTTTAACTTTAATAACTATAACTTATACAGGGAGCCTATTCTTATGCCCATATTTATTCTCAAGCGGATATCTCAATTGTGATTGAACACGCTCGATTACGAGGAATCAGAGTTATCCCAGAATTTGATACTCCAGGCCATACGATCTCTTGGGGAAAAGGTAAAAAGTTTGTGTTTTTCATGACTTCAGAGAAATCACAATCTGAACTTCTTTCAAGTCATTTTTATAATTTTGTAATCCCCTAATTTTTAATTATTTTTAATTGTATAGTTAATTTTATAATCCCCTCTTATTTTGTTCTCCCTGAGGCAGCACTCATTTCTAATAAGATGTGGTTTCAGAAACCAAAACAAAACAAAACTGTATTTGTTCAGCCCTTTGTTGGAATCACTCTCATCCTTCTGGTGTATCAGATTCCCAAAACATTGCTTAGGGCACCTACCATAATCAAACTTTTCTTTCTTCTTTTTTTTTCTTTTTTTTCCTTTTTTTTCTTCTTTCTTTCTTCCTTCTTTTTTTTTTTTTTGGTGAGGCAATTGGGGTTAAAGTGACTTACCCAGAGTCACACAGTTAGTGAGTGTTATGTGTCTGAGGCCAGATTTGAACTCAGGTCCTCCTGAATCCAGTTTTCTTTCTTCTTCCTTCAAAATCTTAACCCCATAATGAACAAATTTTCCAAATCTTGCCCCAGCCATCTTTTCAAGTTGATTATTCATTAAATCCTTCTCCTTTACCAGGTACTTATAAACTTTTCCCTATATACCACATTCTATTATCTCCTGCCTTGGGGCCTTCTCATAAGCAGGAGCTGTGTGTCTGAGATGCTTACCCTTTAAAGCTCAGCTCCACTATCATATCCTTAAAGAAGCCTTTCCTGATCCAGCTCTCCTCAAAATCACTTGGTATTTATTTTGTATTTCTCATATTCCTCTAGTGAAATTCCAAGCTCTTTGAAGGCAGGCACTTCACTCCCTTTTATATGTGTGTCTCCAGCACCCACCATAGGGCCTGGAACGTAGCAAGTGCTTAATAAAGGCTCTTTCAACTTAACAGCACCCCTGGTTCTCCTCTGCTCTCTTTTCCTTCTTTTAATGCTTTTTTTTTTTTGGTGAGGCAATCGGGGTTAAGTGACTTGGCCAGGGTCATACAGCTAGTAAGTGCCAAGTGTCTGAGGCCAGATTTGAACTTAATGCTTTTTATATGACATCAAGTTAAGCTCCTTCACCATCTTCATTGCCCTCCACTGGTCAACAAAATACTTTAGAAATTGAAGCCACTAGAGTCTTATAGAAAGAATAGAACTACTTCCTTTGGATGAAGAGCTTCATTAAGAGAGTGTCTGAATTCTTTGATTGCAGGTCAGAAAGACCTCTTGACACCTTGTTATCAAGGATCAGAGAAGACTAATTCTTTTGGGCCTGTAAATCCTATTTTGAATACAACCTATGAGTTCATGTCGAAGTTTTTCAAAGAAATTAGCAGAGTGTTTCCAGAAGAGTACATCCATTTGGGAGGAGATGAAGTAGACTTTGACTGTTGGTATGACTTCTTTAAAATCAACTTCATTTTCTAAACTACTGTCTTTGATGCAGTTATGAGAGGCTTGGCATTGTGAGAACAGGTTTTGAATAATCTAAATCCTCCAAAAAATCCCTCCACCCCAATTCTAGAAGGTGCATCCTATCCTAAAACATGCATTCTGATCCTGTGGGGTGAGGGACAGCTTACAAAGCAGAATCAAGATGCTGAGAAATTGGTCATAAACTTCTTAGGGAAGGAAATGGTTTGATTTCTTCTTTAGACTTGTATCACCAATACAAGGCAGCAGAGGCAGTGAATAGTTTTTAAATTGAATTTTTGGATAATCATTTTCTTTTTTTTGTAGTATGAACTAAATTTAAAAATCATGAAAATTTTTAAAAAGCAAAGAAAAAGATTATCTTTGATACTCTTATAAGATAATTTGTTTTAAAGAGTATATCTAATTTATTTCTCTGTCCACTTTTGAACTTTTTTCTCTTGTGCATTTTTTGTTAAGTGGATTTTTGTTTTTGGCTAATTGAAGATCATAGAATTGCTTCCATAAAATGAGTTAAAAGTTGTGTGGGGTTTTTCTTAAGGTCTTTGAAATCTCCTTGGATTTGAGGAGGAATTGAAAGAGTTATCTTCAAGGAAAAGCATTAAAAACTACAATAACTAACCAAGAAAGGTTTTTAGGTCAATTTTACTTTGCACAATTTTTTTTACAGTTTAAGTCTGTAAGTGTTGAAAGAGGCAGTCATGATGGGTATTTATAAATGTATTTGCAATGTTTAAAGTGACACTTTAAAAAATAAAACTTTATGGTGATGTCCATATAGGGAAATGTCTTTTTCTCTTTTAAATATGAGAGCCAAATTAAATTAACTATTTTTTTTAAGGGAATCAAACCCATTTGTGACAGAATTCATGAAGGAGCAAAGCTTTGGTAAAGATTATAGGAAACTTGAATCTTACTATATTCAGAGGTAAGTTATTTGAATGCCTCATCTCTCTCTTGGTTTCAGCCATACATTTTTTTTTCTTTTTGTGAGATTATTGGGATTAAGTGACTTGCCCAGAGTCACACAGCTAATAAGTGTTATATATCTGATTTCGGAATTGAACTCAGGTCCTCCTGACTGCAGGGCCAGTGCTCTATCCACTGTGCCACATAGCTGCCCCTCAACTATACATTTTGTAAAATTCTCAGGAGATAGTCCCCAGGGAAGACCAACTGTGTGCATCAGTCTAGGGTTTCCCCTCTTCTTACTCCGTGCTCCATTGGTGGATTACAAGGAAATCGGAGGTTGGTGAAATTTGGGAGTTGAGAAGATTTCTCTCCAAGATCTCATCCACTCCCATGGCTTTAAGTTATCCCTTCAAAGCAGCCTAGCTAAGTCCAAAGAGACCTATTAACAAAAACTGTTAAGTAGGTGAAGAATTTTTCAAGGTCAGTGAAATAGGTAAAGTTAAGTGGAGTGCTCAGTCCTGGGATAGAAAGGCATAAAGGGAAGACAGATAGTTCTGAGAATCATGTGCTTCTTTGATTATCTACAAATAATCATTTAACTTTGGTACTATGTGTGGGCTTCATAGAGTGCCTGAATCTTAGCTTTATTGAAATATAGCTACGAGGCTTGACTGTATGTGTATAATCTATATCAAATTGCTTGCCTTCTCAAGGAGGGGGGAGAGGAAGGAGAGAATTTAGAACTAAAATTTTTTTTAATAATTTATTTTGTTTTATCAACAAATCACTTCCATAAGCTTTTTTGAGTTTCAAATTTTTCTCCCCCTCCCTCCGCATCTCCCTTCCCAAGACGCGTGCAATCTCATATAGGCTGTATGTATACATTCCTATTAAACTTATTTTCACATTAGTGATGTTGTAAGGAAGAATTAGAACTAATAGGAGGAACCACAAGAAAGAGGAAACAAAACACAACAGAAGGAAAAAAAGCAAATAGCATACTTCAATATGCATTTAAACTCCATGGGAACTCAAATTTTTAAAAAATGAATGTTAAAAAAATTTTTATTTACATGTAATTGAGAAAAAATAAAAATCAAATGTAAAAAAATATACTACTGCAGGGAAAGACAGTAGCATCAACAAGAAGTTGGGAAAGATGGTTCAAACTATAGAAATGACAGAGGCTTGTAGACTACTCAGAAGCCTCACAACTCACTTTCTCCCAAGATAATGTGTCTAAAGTACTTAGCAAACCTTAAAGTACTACCTAGATGTGAGCTATTATTCTAAGAAGAGATTTTGAAAGTTGTTGACAAGGACTGAATAGCCAAAAAAAAGAACCATGCAATTGACTATATCTGAAACAGGAAGTGACTGGTTACTAACGTGCGAGGCCATTCAGATCAGCCCCCTGTGGGTGTGCACATCACCCAACTGGCTGAGGCAAGTTTCAAGATCAGTGCCACAGTAGAAGACAAAAAGACAAAGAATGTGCCTTTAGCATCTCTGTCCTTGTGCATTTAAACAAGCTACCAAAACTTAAAAATAGAAAACATGAAAACATAAAAGTATACATAGAAGTGAAGCTGAGGCCTGTAGGTGGTTCAGTGGACAGAGCTCTTGGCCTGGAGTCAAGAAGACTTGAGTTCAAATCTAACCTTAGCCATTTATTAGCTCTGGGAAACTGGGCTAGTCACTTAACCACTGTCTGCTTCTGTTTCTTCATCTGTAAAATGGGTATACCTCCCAGGATTGTTGTGAGGATAAAATATGATACTCTTTGTAAGGCACTTAAGCAAACCTTAAAGTGCTATGTAAATGCTTGCTATTGCTATTATTACATCGACTGTTAACCGTTTCTTAGAGAAGTTTAACCAATGTAAAAGATGCCACAGTGAAGGCAAAAGCAAAAAAAAAAAACCCAAAAATAAAAAACAAAAAATTACCTCAGCCAATAAATATTTAATCTTTTTTCCCAGTAAAGATCTTTTTAGAGTACAAACCCAGTTGTTCAGTGTTATAGAAGATACATACAGTATGACTTTACAGAAGAGGAAAAAGAGTAGTTGAGTGGAAAATGGACTTAAAGAAAGTTTGGTATGAGAACTGGTGGAGCCAGATCATCCTGAAACTGAAAGGAAGACAGATCTTTTGGCATTTCTTTCGTGACCTATTGTGATTAGCTACAGTAGTGGAACTGTCCCATTTCAACTGGACCATCCAATTTGAGAAATACTGCAGAGGTGGAATTGATAGGATTTGCCAACCGTTTTAGGGGTGGGGAACCTTTGGCCTCAAGGCTGGCTGCGCTTGAGGACCCAGAGGGCCATATGTGGCCTGGAGACTTCAAGTCCCCCACCCCCTGGTTAGATATATGAAGTAAAAGAGAAGAGATAGAGAGGCTAGGGGCCCCCTTATTGTGGTGGAGGTGATGATGAGTTCAAGTGTAGACGCCTCGAATTTGAGACTCTAGTGGTATATTAAGGTGGGACTCTCCTCCAGGCAATTGGAAATATGATCCCCAGGGCTGTGATGAGAAATGGAGGGAAAGATAGACTTGACAATCAAATTCATATTCTCAGAACTATCTGTCTTCCCCTTATGCCTTTCTCTCTTTTTCTTTTTTTGGTTGGGCAGTGGGGGTTAAGTTTCTTGCCCAGGGTCACACAGCTAGTAAGTGTTATGTGTCTGAGGCCAGATTTGAACTCAGGTCTTCCTGAATCCAGGGCTGGTGCTCTATCCACTGCGCCACCTAGCTGCACCCCCCCCCAATGCCTTTCTATCCCAGGACTGAGGATTCCACTTAACTTTACCTATTTCACTGACCTTGAAAAATTCTTCACCTACTTAACAGCTCTTGCTGATAGGTCTCTCTGGACTTAGCTAGGCTGCTTTGAAGGGATAAATTAAAACCATGGGAGTGGATGAGATCTTGGAGAGAAATCTTCTCGACTCCCAAATTTCACCAACCTCAGATTTCCTTGTAATCCACTAATAGATTTTATATCTTCAGAGAGGAATACATCATTTCTTATGTCTAAGGTTAATCTGTAATAGAAAAGGGACAGGTTTCTAATGCTATTAAACTTGATCAGCATGACCTCAAATGGCTCTTGTGACCAATTTTTTTTTTTTGATGTTAGGCTTATAGATATCGTTTCATCGACAAACAAAGGATACATGGTCTGGCAAGAAGTTTTTGATAATGGAGTAAAGGTAAGATCCATATGTTAAAATGGATATTGATCTGCATTCCAAGTCTTATTTATTGCCAGATTTTTTGCTTTTCTATTAGCGTGTGTGTGTGTGCAGTTGAGAAACTGTGACAGTGGATAGGGAGTTGGCATCAAAGAGAGGAAGATGAGGGTTCAACTTTCGCCTATTGGTATGTATTGGCTGAGTGACCCTGGACAGTTACTTAACCTCTCATCCCCTGGTCAATTGCTTAAGTCACAGAGAAGGTGCCAGCATGCACTGGGAGAGTTAGTGCCTCAAAGAGAGCTTCTTACATCAAAGAAATAACAATCCCCATCCCTATCCTAATCAATGCAATCATTGGGATGGATTGAAAGAAGTCATGATAAGTATTAACATAAGCAGAGAGGCAGAATGGCCCAGTGGATAGAAAGTCATCCTCAAAACCAAGAAGACCTGGGTTCAAATGCTGACACTGTGGTCCTGGAAAATTCATTTAATCTCTTAGAGTTCTAGGGTAATCTCTAAGATTATGAGTTGCAAAGAAAGGGCCAGTCTGCACTGGGAGAGGGGAGTTTCTTCACCTGAAAGGTGTACCAGGAGTTCTCTATACCAGTGAAATGAAAAAAGACAGAGTTCCTGTCTTTATCCCTAACTATAAACGAGGCCCTGGGAGTACAAAGATGTAAAGCATAAGTTCTTACAATCCAACAACAGAGGTAAGACCTGTACACATATAAATATGATTGAGGCAGCAAGGGAGAAGGGGCTAGATAAAGTTCAGTGTGAGAAAGGAGAGATTACTTTCAATTGGAGGTGACTCAGAGGAGGCTTCCTGAAGGATGTGGCTCCTAAGCTGGACCTTAAAGGAAAGGGTAAAGAAGAAGAGAGAGTATGCCAGGTAAGAGGGACAGCCTAAGCAAATGCAGAAGGGGGAAAGGATAGGAGGGGTTCAGGGAACCTTTAGTTGTCCACTTTGGCCAGCTCATGGAATAGATGCATGGGAAGAGAGTAGAATCCTGCAGAATGTAGAAGGCAAGTGACTAGTTCAATGTAGTCTCTGTATCTTTGGTGCTTAGCACAGTGTCTGCAACTTGGTAGACACTTAATGATTGTTTGCTGCTTGACTGAAAGAAGTCTTTAAATGCAAGAGCCAGATTGCAAAGGTTCTCAAAAATACCAGGATAAGGCATCTGTATTTTATGCTGTGGGTCATCACCAAGTTAAGGGTAGTAGGGTCATGACCATTTTGCCCATAGCAACTCTACTAAGGTGTAGAGGGGGTGTGATCTGCATTATCAGAGGGTTTATCCACACTGGCATAATCATGTGACCCTAGGGAGCCACTGAAGGGCTGTCCTTCTTCCTCCATCATACAGCCTTTGCTGTATTGACTGTCAAGTTGAAGTAAGCAGTATCTAGTATTTGTTTTTTCTGTTAAGAGACTCAGGGGAGGAGGGAGAGATAGCAAAAGGGAAAATACTTAATTTTGTCGTTGTGGGGAAGACTCAGAGCATTTTTGCTTATGATTTATACAGCCTAACAAGGAAATTTGTTTCTTTGAAAGTTGCTTACTTAAACTTGTTTTTAATCTGTGCCTTTCAGCAGGGATGAAAGACAGAAATTTAACATCATTAGTATTCTTTATTGCTCTCCCAGAGGCCACTGGCTTTTTAGCAAATCTACCTTTTATCACAGTTATGACACCTTCAGTCTCCACTGGAAGATGAGTGATAGAAGTGGGAATGGGACTCAGTCATGAGTCCTTTATGCCCATGTGTCAAGCACAGGGGTTAGTCTTTATGCTGAGTTCTTAGTGTTAAAGCCCTAGAACTAGGAAAGTAGGCACTAATTTTGGGGATGATGGCAGGTACTGGCTTTTTTATCTTTATATATCTTCAGAGAGGAATACAGTGCAGTGTATACAGTAGGTGCTTAATAAATGTTGATTAGTTAATAAGGGTAGGTATGTATATGCGTGTATACACACACACATACAGAATATCTGAAAAGTCTTAGTGCAGTTTGAGGCTTGTAAAGTTAGTATACTGAAGCTTAACTGAATGTTGAAACATCTTTTGCATAATTGCACATGTATAACCTATATCAATTTGCTTATTTTGGGGAGGGAAGAAAAAAGAGAATTTGAAGCTTAAAATTTTACAAAATAAATGTTTAAAATTGTTTTTATATGTAATTAGGGGAAATTTTTTTTTTGACTAGGCAATGGGGTTAAGTGACTTGCCCAGGGTCAGACAGCTAGTAAGTGTTGTGTTTCCGAGGCTGGATTTGAACTCGGGTCCTCCTGACTCCAGGGCTGGTGTTCTGTCCACTGCACCACCTAGCTGGTCCCCAAGTTTTTTTTTTAAAAAAAACAACTACACTAAGATTTTTGGGATATCTTGCATTTTAAGGAAAATTTAAGCCTATTAGTTTGAATTTTTGGCTACTGCCAGTGATTTTTTAATTCATTTTTATCTACTTATTCCATTAATGTATACTATAATCTTTCTAGCTTAAGCAGGACACTATAGTTGAAGTGTGGAAAGAGGAGTTTTATCGTAAGGAGCTAGCGGACGTAACAGCGGCCGGGTATGCTGTGGTCCTTGCAGCCCCTTGGTACCTAGACTATATTACTTATGGACAAGATTGGAAGAAATACTATGCTGTGGAACCCCTTAATTTTGCTGGTAAGTCTAATATCTATAAGGTGCTTTTATTTAATTATAAAGATTCAGTTTTGAAGTGTTTTCTTTGAGAAACAAGAAGTAGAAAATAGTTTAGCAGTGCTATTACATTTCTACAACATTTCTCACATCCATCCCATCCCCTCTCCTCTCCTCTCCTCCCATAGCCATACACAAAGTTGTGAAAGCTATATTTCTAAAACATGCACCAGATCATGGCACTCCCCTACTCAGAAATCTTCATTGGCTCACTATGCCTCCAGGGTAAAATGCAAATCCTTGTATTTTTAAAGCCCTTCACAGTCTGCCTCCCACCTGCCTCTCCAGTCTTATTTTAGATGATTCCCCCACTGTACCATGTTCCAAACTGGTCTTCTGGCTGCTCCCTCTGTAAGACAGGCTGTCTCCCATCACTGCTTTTATATAAGCTTTGTGGGATGTTCTCCCAAACAGCTCAGGTCCCACCTCCTAAATAAAGCTGGACCTGATACTCACAGTTGTAAATACCCTGTCTTTCCAGAAATTATTATGCTAGGTGGCAGAATGGATAGAGTGCCAGGCCTGGAGTCAGAAAGACTTGAGTTCAAATACGGCTTCAAACACTTCCTAGCTGTGTGACCCAGGGCAAATCACTTAACCCCTGTTTGCCTCAGTTTCCTCATCTGTAAAATAGGGATAATAATAGGTTGTTGTGAGGATGAAATGAGATTATAACTGCAAGTACCTAGTATGGTACCTGGCACTATGTAAATGTTGGCTATTTTATTATTATTATTATTGCCATTAATAATACCTGTATCCCACTGGTAGAATGTAAGCCTGATTGCAAGAACTATTTTTTGTCTTTATAGCCCCAGCACCTAGTACAAAGTAGGTGCTTAAGAAATTTGTTGAATATTTTGAATTTTGTTTGTTGAATTTTCACTGAATTGGCTACATTTTTGACCTAGTAGGGAAAAAAAGTCATAAATCTACCTGGTTTAAGAACACAAAATGTGGAGGCAGGTAGGTAGCGCAGAGGATAGAGCACCAGCCCTGAAGTCAGGAGGACCTGAGTTCAAATTCGGCTTTACACCAAACACTTGACACTTACTAGCTGTGTGACCTTGGGCAAGTCACTTAACCCCAATTGCCTTTAAAAAAAAAAAGAATATAAAATGTGTGTATATGAAGTGCCTTTTCAAAGGAGTTGTAAAAATGGATTTCCCCAGCTTGTACCTATCCAGTCCAGTCTTTTGGACATGTCTTAATGAGCTAATGCTTATTGAAACCCTTGCCTTTCCTCAGTCCCTGGTAGTGTTTTTGACCCAAGCTTTTGACCTAATGGAACTTAGTTGTTATTTTACAAAGAAAACAGCTTCTGTTGTAGATCTTTTAAGATGGACTTGAGCTGTCCATGATGCCTCCACCTGTTATCCCTGCTCTCACTACTGGGGAGTCTGAGCCGGCAGATCACTTGAGTTCTTGAGTTCTGAGCTATAGTGAACTAAGTTGGGCAGGTATCTACCAGGTGCTGACTCTAGCACTAACATGATGAGCTTCCAGGAATGGGGAGCAGTGTTGCAGGCTGCCTAAGGAAATCAAACTGGCCTGGGTCAGAAACAGAGCAGGTCAAAGCTTCCGCACTGATTAGTAGTGGATCAGGCTGTGAGTAGCTGGTGCACTTCCAGCCTGGGCAAGATGGGGAGACTCCATCTGGAAGCGAAAACCAAAAACAACTTGCTCAGCCTACTACTGCCACAACCTGCTTAAAGGAGGTAGTGTGCTATCATGGATAGGGCATCAGGAAGACCTGGATTTGAGATGCTGACTGGCCCCGGCAAGTCACGTCACTGGAGATTGTCTCCTCAACTATAAAATGGGGGAAGATTAGTACCTATCTCATAAGGGTTGTTAGGAACAAATGAAATGATTTATAAAAATGTTTTGCAAACCTTAAAGCACCATGGAAATGTCAGATATTGTTACTAGTTTGTACTTGTCTTAAAGATATTAATTTCCACTGAAGTCCTATTCAGATGCTACGTCATGACTTGGATGTGACCCCTGCCCCACAACTCTCAAAAGCTTTGCTAACAAGTTGTGCCGTGTTCTACGCCACCCCAGAAATTAATATGCTTCTGTTAGATTCCAAGGAATTCCTTTCAAGCAGACAAGACAAAGCTGTTTTTCTATCTTTAATGGACAGTGAAAGCAGAGCAGACCAAATATTGACCAAGATCAGTGATCCATTAAGTAGTGACGCAGGCTCTCTTACCCTCATGTACTTTATTTAGGCAGCAGATATCTTACTTGCAACTTGTGTCTTATCATTTCAGGTACTAAAAAACAGAAAGACCTGGTAATGGGTGGAACAGCTGCCCTGTGGGGAGAATTCGTGGATGCCACTAATCTCACTCCCAGATTATGGTATGGGATAACTTCAGGACCATTTGGTTGAAGTAGTTAAATCTAGATGTGGTCAAATGCAAGTTTAGAATAAAAGACTAAACAATTACCTGAGATAATAGAGGTGTTTGTCCCTAAACTGATGCAGGAATAGCACTTCCTGTGTAGTACTGATCATTTGACTTAGGCCTACCTTATTTAGAAACATTAAGTGGCTAATTTGCTTGGGGATGTGTACTGTAGGCCTCGAGCAAGTGCGGTAGCAGAACGGCTTTGGAGCCCCAAAGATGTCCGAAACCTGGATGACGCTTATGAAAGACTGGCAGAACATCGCTGCCGCATGGTCAGGTGAGCCTCTGGTATTACCAGACTGGGACATTGAAGTTGGGTGGGAGAGATGGGAGACACTTACCACTCGAAGTAGAAATGAAGGACGCTCTGACAATATGGACTTTAATTTAGAGATAGGAGTTGTTATTTATTATTGAAAAGAGTCTGGAACATGGAAGTACAAATAGCCTTTTTTGCTTAAAAGTATTATTTGTTAAATGCCTAAAACATTTAGTACTTTATTCTGTCATTTGGGGTGGGGCAAGAGGGCGAAGAATCCCTCTAATCTTTAAGCAGTTTTAATTTTGAGTCTATTATTAAAATACAGTCAAGGGTACAGGCTCTTGAATCAGAAGACCTGGGTTCGAATTTCACCTCTAATGTTTACTCTTTGTGTGACCCTTGTCAAATCACTTAACTTTCTGCACCTCAGTTTCAACTGTAAAATTAGGGAGCCTGGACTAAATGACCTCTGAGGCCCTTTCTATCTCTCCATCTGTGAGAGCTTCACTTCCCTTATCTGTAAAATGAGGGAGTGGTACCAGATGGCCTGAGGTCACTTTCAGATTGAATGGTCCCATGACCAGTTCTTCAAGAATTAACACTAAAGGTTAACACTAACACTCAAGGTTAAAACTAAAATATTTTTATTATCCCTTTTTTTTTCTAGTATCTTTTATGCGGTAGCACCCAGGGCATAAACCATTCTCCAGGGACAAACTCGACTGACAGTTAATTTTTTATTTTAAAAAATTGTCTTTAAACATTTCCTTCATTTATGTTTTTCTCTCTCCTTTTTTTAATAGACGTAGAATTGCAGCAGAACCTCTTTATATTGGATATTGTGAATTGTGACATGCCCAAATGGAGCAGAATGGGGAATAAACCGTTATGGCTGATGTTTGCATTGTGATCAACTTAATTTTGAAATTATGTAAATTGAAATATGAAGTGTGAATTTTTATAAATAAAATATATCTTTGTAAACATATTAGCTCTGACTTTTGCAGACTAAGCAAGGACCTGAAGACTTATCCCCTGGTTATGGGTGGCATTTCATGACTCATGGAGGACTCTTCGGGCTCAGGAAAGGGCGGGAAAGTTTAGATAAGATACACCTTCAGGCTAGGAGGAAGGAATTAGGAAAAGCAGGACTAGGTGGTTGGCCTATAGAGTGGCCTTCCTCAGTCAAGCATTCTCACTCAAAAATACAGCTATCTCAGAGAAACTCAAACTCACAAGGCTATCAGCTATTCAAATGTCAGTCTTACTTGCCCAGCCCACTTTAATATCCACCTGAGAATCCATTTCTCTGAGAAAATGAAGTCTTGATGGGATGTAGGTAATTTTGGAGCATGAAGCAGTTTGACGGGCAAGGGAATTTAGAGAATGACGTCAAAAGGGGCAGCTAGGTGGCACAGTGGATAGAACACTGGCCCTGGGTTCAGGAGGACCCGAGTTCAAATCCAGCCCCAGACACATAACACTTACCTAGCTGTGTGACCCTGGGCAAGTCACTTAACCCACCATTGCCTAGCCAAAAAAAACCCAAGAATGATGTCAAGATAAACCAAAATTTTGCCTAGTTGCCTTAAGTCCAGTACAGGACGGAGAAACAATCCCTTTCACAGCATGGCCCCCATGGCAAAATTTGGGCTTTTACTATACCTGAGCTGTATGAAGCAATTAAATATATATGTATTTTTTTTCAGGGTTAGGAGGATTTTATCGAATGGTGTTTCAGTTTTACAGTCTTTGCTGTGGGGTTGGAGAACACCCCACTGCTGCCCCCATTCTCCCATATTCGGCTTCTCAGAGGGGCTGGCCATAGGAACGTTGTCAGGGAAGTAGGTATTGGAATCTGGTCAGGGCAGCAGGAGTGAGTTCTTCTTCTCCCTTGGGTCATCCAACTGGACTTTCCTTCCTCTGCTTTCAGCCCCTCTTACTCTGGGTGCCCACCTGATCCTCCCCAGGCTCACAAGAAGACTGAGTTGGGGGAGGGGGAGTGAGAAGGAAGGGGCACTGCCACGTGCCAAAGGGGAAGTGAGGAAAACGAGGAGAGGGGGAGAAAGGTGTACCCGGGCAGTGTGTCCCAGTGTGCTGCCGTGATCTGCCCTCAGTGCCCTGAGAGTTTACCATGATCTTTGCTCCTACTACCCCAATCTTGATCTCAACACCCCCAAAACTACCCTGCTGGGAGATAAGTCACTCATGCTCACCCAAGAAACCAGAAGCCCTGAATTCCTTCCCCAGCAAGTCCCATGTTGGTCAGGGCCTGAAGACACAATGGGGAGAGGAGGACTGGGATAGCTGGGGAACCACTGTGGGCTTTCTTCACCCCATCCAACCAGCCTCTAGACACCAGAAATTTGTGGGTCTCTCCTTCCTCTGATTTTGTTCCATATGCAGATGAGCTTTCCTGCTGTTCTCAGCTGGGAAGGCCTGACCCCGACCCTGGCAGAAGTTCCCCCTTCCCACTCTCCCTGGTGTCAGGGGAGCCACCCCTCTCCCTCAGGCTCCCTGTTCTGTCACAACACAACAGCCGGAAGGTTACAGCGAGATGGCTGAGGCTGGAACAGGAAACCCTGCTCAGGTTGAGGGTCTGGCACAATAGCCCATGGCTCCTGGAGATGCCTCCAGTTTCCTGGCCCAGCAGCTCTGGGAAGAGCCAAAAAGCAGAAGTGGGGGCCCAGGTTCCAGTGAAACATAAAGCAGGCAGGACTGGAGTCAGAGCGGTAATATTGGAGCAGAGGCGTATCCTTGCATATGCTGCCTAATGGAGCAGGGCTCCATTTCTGCCTTCTCTGCAGGCCTCGTTTTTGTTCCTGACCTGTTCTGCTCCCCCATCCTGACATGGGGTAACGGAGGGAAGGGGAATAGAAGGGGGCCAGAGGTCTGGGGACAACCTTCCTGACACTCAACTCAAACCAACACGCCACCTCTGGGGGATTGAGGGTGGGAGCCGAGTCTTCCTCTCCTCCCTCCACTACCCTGGATCTTGGGTAAGGAACTTGTTTTCCTAGTCATTAACAGTTGGTAATTCTTCCTTTGAAAACTGTTCGTAGGCTTTGACCACTTAACCTTTTGAGGACCAGAACCCTTAGCTCTGACTACTTAAAACAATTAAAATGATCATCAGTAACTGCAAGGCCCCAGTAGCCAACAAGTGCATCTGACAGAGCCAATGTAGAGTATAACATGACAGCTCACATTTCACATCACAAACGAAGATGAGTAATCTCTTCTCAAGAAAAGTCATTAAGAACCACCTTCCATATGAGGCCCTTCCTGATGCTCATTCCCCCCAACTACTAAGAGTTTTTCCCCCCAAGTCACTTTGTATCTATTTTGTATATACTCATATATGTAGCTGTTGTCTCTCCTGGCTAGACTGTAAGCTCCTTGAGGCAGGGACCGTCTTCACTTCTGTTTCCGTCACCAGTGCCCAGGGCACTATGGTGGACACTAAAATTGTTTGTTGATGAATTCAAAGGTTATTTCTTGCTTTAAATTTGTGATCCCACAAACAGTTTGGAGTTCATGGAATCAGCACCTTTCATTGCTGAGATATTTTTGTGGTAAAGAGGAGATGGGTATTTTGCCTTCCCTATATTCAGAGAGGGACTGGCAGTTGCTTTCCAGTTGTCAAATCTTTGAATTTCTCCATCAAGGAAAACCAAGTTACACCACTACTTCCTGGTCGTTGAAACTCGTAAGCTTTCTCTTAGCAAAGACCCTGACCTTTCCTCTGAGTACAGTTTTTCTGGTTCTGTTCATATGCATTTACATCCCTCAGGTAAATGACAGCCAAAGAACATGAAATTTCCAATAACAAAACAGTCCACTCCATACCATCATCTCTGCTAAGAGAACCGATCCAACAACAACTTTGTTATCCTGACGACTCTGGATTTCCTGAATGCTGCCTCTTCTCTGCACGAGATCAGCTAGGATAGAACTGAGATAGTCTCCAGTCACTGTAACTTCCAGGTTCATTAGGGGTTCCAGAACTTGCTGGTCAGCTTTCTTTAGAGCCTAAAAATAAAGATATTAAAGGCTCTCAATGAAATAAAATTCCATTTATACAAAACTAAACAGTTGGGGTAGTTGGGTGGTGCAGTGGATAGAACACCAGGCAAAGAAGAACATGAAAAAAGAAGTATGAAAGGTGGCAGAAGATCTGGGATCAACTGAAGAGACAGGACAAGGAAGAAGTCGAAGGTAACTGGGTAAAAGTTCACTGGAAAGAATTCCATTTTCCTTTGAGTCCCAAAGAAGCATTGAAGAAAACATTTTATCTTCAAATCAAATGAGCTGGCAAGCTAATTGTAGAGGGAAGCTACTAGCAGAATAAAGAGCACAACTTTATCCAGAGATTTACAGTCAAAGCCAACAGACCCAGGCTTCAGCACAGGTTTGGTTTGCAAATAGAAATGGTCTTAAATACAGCCTTCCTACAGGTTCCTTATCAATACCAAATCACCTAATTCTTTCTCTGACAAGCAAAAGGGGTCCAAAAAACAAAAGAAAATAAAACAAAAGTCCAATGGGCTTGGTGGTGCACACCTACAGTCCTTGCTGATGAGGAGCCTGAGGCTGGTGGATCCCATGACTTTGGAAGATCTGAGATGCAGAAGGATGAAAGTCTATGGTATCCACAGTAATGACACCAATATGGTGGCCCTGAGGAGCAGAGAGGTGAGCCATCTCAGGTGAGAAAAACTGAGCAGGGTGAAGTCTCTATGCTAATCAGCATTGGGACTGGGCCAGTGAGTGGCTGATGCACTTCCAGTCTGAGTGAGATAGGGAAACCCAGTCTCAAAAACAAAACAATACAATACAACAACAAAAACAAATAGTTCTCTTGCTAAGTCAGTGTTTATTTATAGCAGAAGGAAACTAGGGGAAGAGGGGAAAGTAAACAGAAGGGAGATAAAAATTTCTGGTAGGTGATCTTACCTGGGGAATTAGCTGATGATATCTCTTCTGATTATACCCTACCACCCAACTGTTCTAAGTATTGAATGCAATTTAATTGAAACTCAAACCACCACATGGATTTTAACTTACTTTGGCTTGTACACAAGGAATCAGGCAGCAGGTAGCAATTACCATTCACCTAATGTGGTAGCAACAAAACATTCTGTAATCATTCTACTATGCTAGGCCACCAGAGGTAGCCATGACATAGTTTAAAACAACCACCAGCACCACCAGCCGAGCTGAGGGTCAGGCAGAGTAGCCCATGGTTCTTGGAGATGCCTTCAGTTTCCTGGCCCAGCAGCCATGGGGAGAACCAAAAAGCAGAAGTGGGAGCCCATGTTCTGGTGGAACACAAAGTAGGCAGGAGTGGAGTTAAGAGTGGTAATATACAGATTGAAGGAGGAGGGTTCCATTTCTATCTTCTCTGTAGGCCTATTTTTTGCTCCTGAGCTGTTCTACTCCCCAACCCTAACATGGGGTAATGGAGGGAAGGGGAATAGAAGAGGGGCAAGGGTCTGGGAATGACAATCTTGCAGACACTCATCTGAAACCAACTCAACACCTCTGGGGGCTCGGGAGTGGGGACTGTCATCCTTTCCTTCCCCCACTGCCCTGTATCTTGGGGCAGGAAGGAGAGGGGCTCTCTGATGTCCCCTCCTTGCAAAACGTCCAGGAAATGCTCCTCAAATGGGTCCTGCTTTTAAATCAGATGAAATACAATCCCCTTCCCCTCTGATGATGGCAATGGAAGCTGGGGTATGTAAGGGTGTCAAGAACTTCCCAACTGGAGTTTTAGAAAGATTTAAGGAACCAGAGGCACTCTCCTTCTCCAAGGTTTCTTCCCCTTCTTTTTGGACACAGGTTAGGCTGGGAAAAGGGACCTCATCCTCCTAGCCCCCTCCTTTTCTCTCCCTGC